GGAAAAAGAAAAAGGCGGCGAGGGACGCCGTGGAGCAGTATCCTCTCAACACCAAAGTGGAGGCCGCCAAGAGGAACACGGAGGGCGTCGAGAAGAACGTCAACAGACAGTATTGCACCGTGAAGAACCTGAACGTACTCTGCGAAAGCGATGGGGCCTACAAGGCCCAAGGGGCAAAGGTTAAGCAGGTGAACTTGGCGGTGAAAGTCCACAACAATTTACACGACGGAACAGAAGTCTAGTAGCCTGTGCACAACTTTTCTTTTTCCTTTTTGTAATATCTTTTTTATAAATTGTACAAAGGAAATTGGAGCCGGGGTGGGGGTGGGGGGAAACTATGGTTTGTTGGTTTTTTTAAAAAAGAAACCATCCCTGATATTTTTGTAACAGTCTTCGTGGGTGGTGGGGAGAGAAAGGGAAGAGCGATATACCTTTTTGGTCATTGTTTGCTTGAGCGGTGAACAAGCGACACGTCTTTGCACGCTTCCACTCCGCAACGGAGCTACCTCATTGAGAAGCAGGCCTGCGTTGAGGCGCTGAATTGAGTGAGTCTCTTGGATGACAGCATTCCATTCACACACCCATCCAGCCTCCAGTGCTCAGTTTCCTGTATCTTCCACTGCACAATGGGGTTGATGAAACACTAGAAGGGTGCCGAATGCAAATGAGGCTTCTTTGGAGGTGGAAGAAGCAACAGGGCAGTAATTGTTGTGGTCCACTGCTTCCTCTCGCAGCCACTATTGCATCAGTCGCACTGGAACATGCTCAGGTTCAACCATATCTACACACCGGTTCCTCCAGCTCCTGAGTGAAAGTGAAGCACGCTGCGGCAGCATTAGAGGAAGCGGGCAGTGATTTAAGGGCTTCTCTTTGAGCCAGTTCGCACATGACAGAAGTCTCAGCTTTTAAAGTTCATTTTAGTTGCCTAATTATCCCCTTCCTTCCTTTGTGTGTTATGCTGTCATGGTGCAGGTAACATGTTAAGCCAAATGTATAATGCATTCTCTTTGAGCAAAAGTAAGATCTGATCACCACTATTACCAGAACTACCACTGCCATATATATTTGGTGATGCCCAACTAAGTTGTATTCAGAATAGCAGGCTATCTCCCATTGTTTATTTAGTGCCAAAAATGTGCTGGGTAATATTCAGCCGGCCTCCACTTAAGTAGAAGAAGTGGTTTCTTCCTCCGTAGAAGCACTTAATGTTAATTTCTCTTCCACTTAATGTTAATATCTCAAATGTCTGAATTGTCATACATTTCTGAATTTTCTCCAGTCCAGAATTCCATGAGTGTTCCATTGGACACCCAGAAATCCAAGCGGAGCAGGCTTTCTCAATTGTTTCAGTGGGGTGAGCCAATGTAGAAATGGAAAGGAGTATATGTTTGTGGGTTGGCTCCCTCCCTTGACATGAATGGGGAAATCATTTCACGAGGGAGCTTCACACATGCATTGGAACTTCAGTGCCTGGAATAGACTGTAGAACAATTACGTTCTGCTGTTAGTGCCTAAGCATACCTACTTGGATATACATACCATTGACAACAAGGAACTTGTTCCTGAGTAAGCATGCAGAAGATCAGATTGCACATACGTAAATACAGTGACCTCCATAGGAGATGAGCAAATATTTGTGGATATTGAAGAAGAACCACTCTGATTTCAGAAATGTTGGGTATAAATGCATTGTATGCAGTGTGCCTAATCTCATTACTGTTTGGTCTGCTGCAAATCTGCTGTGACAGTCTCATCATAGCGGCTGGTTTTGGGACAATTATGAAGCTGACGGACCGTGGTGGAATATTTCACCTGGCTGAGATTGCCAATATATTTTCTGTAGATGCACGCTTGAAAGTGTCAAAAGACCTGTAATCGTTGCTTTACTTCGTTTGATTCACGCAATCACTTTGTATATGTTTTGATCGATGCCAACAGGCAGTATTGGATTTCCCTCAGACGCACACTGGCCCGTTTATTCACAGTATCAGCATTCTGCCATTCATAATTAAGCAACATCCGTGATGCTTTGAAGAAGTCTTGTGAATGCTTTGACCTGTGTTCAGATTGTTCCCCTGTGTGCCCTGGACTGAAGACTTTCCCCAGGGCTTGTCGAACAATGAAGTGAACATTCTGTTGGACGATTCACATGAGTGGGTTGACCCTAGGTGGAGAAAGGCCATTTGTGTTGGCATAAAACCATCATACAGATTGGGACTGGAGCTTTCGCTACCAGGATGTTGTGTACAAGGTCTAGCCTGTTGCCCCACTTCAGAGTCCTGATACGCAATGCCATTGAATGCACAGAGCCCCTGCCTTTGTGAGCTGTCCTCATTCAGACCAACAAACCCTGCCCTCCACTGAAGTGAATGTGGGTGGTGGAGTTCATTGCATACATTGAAACCTCTGGGCCCACAGCAGCCTGCTGAATCTGGGGAAGAACATTAGAGTGGTCTTGGAACAGGGAGCCCTGGGTTTGAAGAAGAAGAAGAGGAGGAGGAGGAGGAGTTTGGATTTGATATCCTGCTTTATCATTACCCTAAGGAGTCTCAAAGCGGCTAACATTCTCCTTTCCCTTCCTCCCCCACAACAAACACTCTGTGAGGTGAGTGGGGCTGAGAGACTTCAGAGAAGTGTGACTAGCCCAAGGTCACCCAGCAGCTGCATGTGGAGGAGCGGAGATGCGAACCCGGTTCACCAGATTACAAGTCTACTGCTCTTAACCACTACACCACAATGAGTCACTGCTCAGAAGCCAAGCTGATTGGTTGATCTAGGGCAAGTCTTTAGGCCTATCCTATCTCACAGGGTGGTTGTGAGGGTTAAAGAGGCATTCTGGGCTCCTTGAAAAGGTAGAATAAAATGGTAACAAAAATGATACTGCAGGAGAGTTACTCTGCCATGGCAGGCAGGATCTTGTGCCAAGTTATTTAGTGCTGGAATGCCAACATTGTGTATGCATGGCGTTGGCAAAACTGTAGGGGAACCATGGAAAATCCATCTCAGTAGTAGTACAGAGCATCCTGCACATTGGTGTTGCTATACGAATAATGATTGCAATGCTGTTGAAACAAGAGACAATAAGCACACATATGTTCTCCTAAATTGTACAACTGCTGGCACATGGATATTGCATATTGCTGTTTGTCACCAAATGTTCAAGTGTTGGGGCCTGCAGGCATACAAGTCCTACCCCCTTTCAATATGCTTACTTCCCCCATTCCGAGAGAAAGTTCTTTTAAGTTGCTCTGAGTAAATCTCATTTGGTGCTGTCAACCCATTTTCTTGAAACTCGCCTTTTTATGTATTCTGGAGCATTGGTCATTTTGTTACGGGACGAATGGTTTTTATTTCCATGATACCCTTTTCTCTGCATTGTTGCTGGGTTTTTGTTTTGCTAATAAAAACCACATTTGGTTACTTTTCAACTGAACTTGCCTTTCAATCTAAATTGGTTGCGCAGACCTACCCAGATCGGCCATACAGATATCATCACATTCACCTTCAACCAACATTTCAGAGATGTAAAGAGCAATGCAGACACCAGCATAGGTGCCAGGCAAAAATCTTCCTTTTCTCACAGGCCGATCTGTGTCCTTTCTCGGGGGTGAGAGATGGGGTGGTATTGTTTTTGTCCATTGTTGTAAACAAAACCTGGTCTTGTTCCCTTATGGGGTACACAAGGGCCCTTATAGAGTCCTTTGTAGGTTCTCCATTGGTAGGAGAAAATAACAGAGGCCAACCAGAGAATATTGAGAAGCAAAGCAGCTAGTAAGCCTGATCTTTATTAACGTTGTTGCAACACACAGGAGAGCGGAGGAGGACCCAGAACGAAGGTGTGCCTCCCCTTACATAGACATTTTGAAATTCCCTACTCTGGAGCTCAAGACCACCCCCAGAAACATTATACATACATCACAGAAGGGGTGTAGCCCCAAGACCACCCCCAGATACATCATACCTACATCATAGAAAAGGCGGTCTACAACAGAAATCTGAGTGCTTTGTTTATCTCCTGTCTGCCAGGTTATCTAATAATGCCTTACCTGATTGCCTTTCCTGGTAGTCTGGTTGGCCTGTTATTTTCTCCTACCAATGGAGAACCTACAAAAGACTCTATAAGGGCTCTTGTGTACCCCATAAGGGAACAAGACTTTTGTTCAACACCATTACCTTGTTATATATTCTTGTGTTTTTATATTGTAAGCTGGCAACAGAAGACGGGAGAAAAGCAATGTGTTTGCCAAGGCTACAAAGAGGAGGGTTGTACCTTTGCGTCATAAAGCAGGGTGGGAACTTCAGGCCCTCCAGGGCTCTTTGTCTGGCCCTGGGATTCTTCTCAGGCCTCCCCTCTCTTCAGCCCTGCTCCATGCTATCTTTTCCTGCCTGCAAATATCTTCTAACTCTGATAATTTCTCTTGTGTGGCTGGGTGGTGAGGAGTTAAGACACCTCTAGCATGTTGCATGGCTGGAAAGTAGCCTGCAGTCCGCAGGTCTCTTCCAGACGACCCATTTGTTGAACCCTATAAGTTTGCACAAACTTTGCGGTACTATGGAGCATTCAGCTTTGTTTAGGGGGAGATTAGACGACGTGGTGTCAAGCAATTGCCATACCACGCTTTCCAGCGCGTTCCCCTATCACTTTCCTCACTGAATGGAAAAACAACTCTGCAGCTGCGTAAAAACGCCCTTTATTTTTTTAATTCCCCTTGGCTTTGGCGCCCCTTTCCTTTTTGGCCAAGCGCCCGCGCACTGAGCAAATACATGGGATGCTAATACAGCAGCCATGCAGTCCAGAGAAAAAGACACGTCGTGCTAAAGCGGAGCGCTTTCCCTGTGGGATGCCTGCCTGCCTCACAACTCTTAGCAAAGCGCAGCAGCGTCGCCGTAGTTCGAGCCTCCCGGCTCTTCCGGGGTTGCAGCGAGACCAAGAGTGACGAGAAATAACCCGGCAGCGAGCTGGGATGGGCCGGCCGTGAGCCCTGCCTCCATCCCCGGCGTCGTGGCCCAGCAGGTGGGGCCGAGCGAGGGCGGAGCGCAACTTTCCCTCGGCAGCGGCTACACTCCCGGGGCGCCTTTTCCCTTTGCAAACTCGCGGCTCCTGGGGCGCGTCTGGCTGTTGCTGGCGGGTAAGTCATCGAGAGCAAAGGACGCCTGACTTTCTACTCCACTTCTCGGGCGCTGGGGAGACCCCATTGAGGCGGGCGGGCGCGCGCATTCGTGCCTCACCTCTCGCGCTTCGGCCGGTGCCGTTGCCCGAGGCGCCCCAGCCGCGCCTTCTTGGCGCGCCGTCGCGGCTTCTTCCTGGGATTATTGGAAACGGTGCGCGTTGCGCGCTTGGGGCAGCAGTTTTGCCTCATCAGGAGTGCCAGCTCCTGAATTTTGTGGGTGCTCGGGCACCCAGGGCCCCGGCGCCTATGCCAGGCAACGTTCGATGGGGAACATAGGTGTCAGTTCCCCGGGGCCCTGGATGCCCAAGCTGAGCACCCACAAAATTCCGTGCCAGGGCCATGGCACCCACGGCTCCAGGCACCCACGGTCGCGGGGCCAAGTTGACACTCCTGTTGCCTTGGGAATCTTCAGGGGTGCAGCGGGAGAAACTCCGACCTCCCATTCCGACAAGCCGGGCTTAGGACTTCCGATGGGTTTCCATCTCTGGCCTGGTTTGATACAACAGCCTCAGTCTTAATATAGATATTGCCCAACATGGGTTTGGGATTCCTCTCCCTCCCCACGCCCATTTTTGTTAGAGCTTTCTTGAAACTCTCTGAGGTGCAGGATGTGCAGGGAAAGGGCATGATGACTTATACGGATGGAATCATGGGTGAATGAAGCTCTTTCACATGTTAGCAGCACTCCTGTTGGGACTGTAATGTTCCAAGGTAAAGCTGAGTGGAATTGCATACTTGTGATCTGGCTTGGATCAAAGGCCTCTCAGCTCATGGAAAGCAAGCATTTGAGGGAGAAGCTTTCTGCGTGCAGGGAATGTGGTAGAGCTTCATAATATTTAATACAGTGGTACCTCTGGATGCACTAGGGACGCGGGTGGCGCTGTGGGTAAAACCTCAGTGCCTAGGACTTGCCGATCGCATGGTCGGCGGTTCGAATCCCCGCGGCGGGGTGAGCTCCCGTCTTTCGGTCCCAGCTCCTGCCCACGTAGCAGTTCAAAAGCACCCCCAAGTGCAAGTAGATAAATAGGTACCGCTTTATAGCGGGAAGGTAAACGGCGTTTCCGTGCGCTGCGCTGGTGCTGGCTCGCCAGAGCAGCTTCGTCACGCTGGCCACGTGACCCGGAAGTGTCTCCGGACAGTGCTGGCCCCCAGCCTCTTAAGTGAGATGGGCGCACAACCCTAGAGTCGGACACGACTGGCCCGTACGGGCAGGGGTACCTTTACCTTACCTCTGGATGCGAACGGGATCCATTCCGGAGCCCCGTTCACATCTTGAAGCAAACGCAACCCGCACGTCTGTGCATGCACGGTTCGCAATTTGCTGCTTCTGCGAATGCGTGTGACATCATTTTGCGTGTCTGCACATGCACGAGCACAACCCGAAAATGCTTAACCCAAAGCTACTTCAACCCAAGGTATGACTGTACACACACTTGCACACCCCTGCAGTTTGGAGCAGGGTGGTCCTGAGAGGACTATACCATGTAAAAATTCTGGGCACTTGATTTGGTTTAAGGATTAGAGAAGTTCATGGAGCATCGGTCTATCTGTGGCTGTTTTCCATAATAGACATTAATTGGGGCTGCCACACGTCCAGAATTTCCTGGACATAGCCGGTATTTGGCTGTTGAAAACAGAGTCTGGGTGGAAATCACTGAAATGTCTGGGGAAATCTGGATATATGGCAGTCTATGTTGGAAGTGCATATTTTGGTGAATTTCCTTTAAAATAGCTCAAAAACTACCTTTTTGCAGAAGGAAAAAAAAAACCTAAACAACTTTGCCAAAAAAGGTTTTACAACGTTTGTGTCCAGATTTTCACTTTTTGAAATATGGCAACCCTACATTAATGAAACCTTGGCAGGATCTCTTGGTATATAATATGATGCTGTGGTTAAAAGTGTGGTGGTGGCAGTATAAATCACGCTTTCTTTCAGCTAGCCGCTTTTGGAGAGAGTGTGTTGGAACAGTATGGGCAGAGTAATCCCAACTTTCCCTGCTAATATTCTCTAAGTTTGTCTAGAGACTGTGTTGATCAACACCTGGTAAAACTCTCTGGGAAACCTGCTATATGGCTGTGCAGGACTTGAGCGTTTGCACATTACAAGTACACCTTGGTCTCTTGAAAAACCAACAGTCTGTATGAGCCCTGAGAGATAGTGGAGGCTGATAAACTCTTAATAACCCTAGGACAGTCTGAAACCAGCTTGAGTCAGCATCTACACTGGCTATGCTTCAGTGCAGGAAGAAAAGAAGTGAATTGATAAGGGTTGCTGAACCCTCATTGCCCTGCTTACCTCCACAGGTCGCTTCCAGATGACCTGTATGCTAAGCAGTGGCTGGCTTATTCAATTAGAGCATGGTGCCAAGGTTGCAGGTTCAATTCCCATATGGGACAGCTGCATATTCCTTCATTGCAGGGGGTTGGACTAGATGATCCTCAGGGTCCCTTCCAGCTTTACAATTCTATGATTCTATGATTTTCACTCTTCCTGAATTGCTTGCACAAGGTGTCTGGGCTGGTTAGACACCTTTAATTCTGATCTCTTTGTGGGAAGGTTAGACAGCACTGTGTGAAGCAATGGCTATCCCATATTTTCTAGTGAATTGCATTGCTACTTTCCTTTTCCATCTCTTTTAAAAAGCAGATTTCTTGTCCAGTAGTGCCTTTGATTGTGTGCAACCTTAATTTGTTAAATAAGTTGGAGTTCTTGTTATTAAATATACCAAGAAAAAAAGCACACCAAGAACTCTGGCCAATATAAGTTTCAATAGTGGGAGTGGTCCCTACTCGCAAATCAGTAGTCAATTATAACAAAAACTGATCCATTCAAAAGTATGTATTCTGACAAGGATTACAAACTCAAACAGAGATTACAAACTCAAATTCATAAGGATATGTGTGACACAATAATTCGTTACAGTGTTAGAGATAAGAGTTTATGAGTAGAGATAAGTTCATATTAGTCCGTAGTCAGATTTGACGTGAAGATCTTTGTTTCAGTTATTGAGCAAAAGTCAGAAGTCAATTATGGATAAGAAGCCAGGACAGGCCCCTGTTTTGGTGTATTCACCTCTATCAGCTGGAAGTATCAAACATTACATGAAAATACATTTAAATTCCAAATTATCATAAATTATAGAACAGTATTATACAACATTTGGTTGGGATGCGGGTGGCGCTGTGGGTAAAACCTCAGCGCCTAGGACTTGCCGATCGCATGGTCGGTGGTTCGAATCCCCGCGGCGGGGTGCGCTCCCGTCGCTCGGTCCCAGCGCCTGCCAACCTAGCAGTTTGAAAGCACCCCCGGGTGCAAGTAGATAAATAGGGACCGCTTACCAGCGGGAAGGTAAACGGCGTTCCGTGTGCTGCGCTGGCTCGCCAGATGCAGCTTGTCACGCTGGCCACGTGACCCGGAAGTGTCTGCGGACAGCGCTGGCTCCCGGCCTATAGAGTGAGATGAGCGCACAACCCTAGAGTCTGTCAAGACTGGCCCGTACGGGCAGGGGTACCTTTACCTTTACCTATTATACAACATTTGGTTCCTTACCTTACTTCTTTCCTTTTCAATCTTTTTTTTAAAAGCAGACTTGTTGTTCAGTAGTGCCTTTGATTGTGTGCAACCTTAATTTGTTGGCACGTGACTGGATCACTTAAAAAAAATAACAGTAATCTGGAACTGCCTAGAGTCTGCCTCAAAGCAGCATATTTTATCAGGTGCTGAAGTGAGCCCTGCTTAGAGAGGTGCATACCCAATTTGTTATCTAAACCAGAACCCCACCTGTGCTTTATATGATACTGGGGAAGACCCACATTTGAAGAGATGGCTTTTCCCTCATTGCCCCTGGTATGTCCTTTCTTCACTAAGCCCGATTTTGAGAAGCAGAGGAAGGCTCTCTAACTGCTTTTACTCCTCTGCAACCCTTGTTTCCATAACTTCACGTTGGGTGGGGCAAATTTCTCCCAAGCAAAACACTGAGCTAACTTTATGCTTTAAGCCGTGTGTGCTTGTGGCAAAGAACATCCCTGTTTAAGGATCTGAGTCAATACGCCTTTTCCTGTGTTGCGTATTTGAGCTTGGACAGTTTCCAAAGTTCTCTGGGTAAAAAAATAAAATAAACCATGGGCGGGAGGATGTTAGATATACAGTGTATTCCCTCCGCTGTTCATTCCCTGTGGCCTGTGACTCAGGCCAGAATGGTGAGTTATTCAGAAGCCTGTTTTCATTTGGGGGGTGGGGGGGTGGAATGAATGGGAATGGAGACTTTGCAAACTTGAAACAGCAGTTGGGAGGGTTGTTGATGTGGTATCCAAATGTAGCAAACTGGATTGTACAAGCTGTGGTTCTCTTCTCAAATCAGGACCTGATACTATGGTTTGGAAACAAACAATGGTTTGCTTCATTCAGGCAAAATGGTGCCTAAAACAGTTGCAGTGGAACGGAGTGCAGGAAGACATAGCTAACTGACTGCAACAGTCGGAGGGAGCTGGTTTTTGTTGCCAGTGTCACAGTGTGTGCGCAGGCCTCACTATAGATTTGTAGATGTAGAGTTATTGTGAATCTTAAAAGGTGCAGAACGGGATTTGGATACGCCCAGCAGCAACATCACGAGAATTGCCGCAGGAATGTATTGGAAAGAACAGAATGCTAATTGTCTTCATTTTATTTTATAGCATTTTAAAGCCCTTTAATATTTCAAAAATATCTTAAGTAATGCTCACTATGTGCAATATAAAAACAATGTTCATTAAATTAAAAATAGACCCTAAAAATACCCAACTGTATAAAAACAGGTAAAAGCAAATAAAACGGATTCAGGAGTTTCATACACATTAATCCAGGTCTGAACATAGGAGTCCGAGAAAGCCTGGTGGAAAAGATGAGTCTTTACAAGAACATACATATTTTATTGTGTTAGTGTATTTTATAATAACATGCCCGGTGTTGCATTCTGTTAACATCTGCTTATTCTTCCAGAGTCATTCTGAGAGAAGATCATAATGGCTTCTGTTTGGGTGAGTAAAATCATGTTGTCCGCATACCTTACTCTTGTGCATTTGGGATCCTCTCTGTTTGCTTGGAGACTGAACTTTAGAGAGAGAAAACAGAGAAAGTCTGAGTCCTTTGCATGACACACTTCTGGCTGTTTTGCTCATGTGCCATTTTGAAAAACTATTGCCGGATAATGAAATTATTTGTTTAGTGTGGAGATCACAGCTTTGCTTAAGGTCTGTTAGTATCCCAGCCAGCTAGCCTCTTCTGAGAAGGGCATCATCTAAAAGCAAATTCTGAAACATTGGGAGCTGCCTTGCACCAAAATCAGATCCATTAGTCTTTCTATCTCTGTAATGTTCACACTGAGTGGCAGCACCTCTCTAGTTTCAGACAGGGTGTATTTTCAGACAGGTGTGGTATTCAACTAACTTTTACTCAGGGTTAGACCCATTGAAATTAATGAACATGACTCAGTTAATACCTCCTGCATAAAAAGCATGTGTTCTATCACTGAGCAGTAGTCCTTTCTAAGGTCTGTATTCCCCCAGCCTCCTCAGAATACCATATTGCTGATAATGAAATTTTTTGCTCCACTTCCTTTCTTTGTCGAATTTGTAACAAACCTCTCAGTCAAGGGTAATTAACTGAAAGATGGATTCAGACTCATGTGGTTAAACTGTTAAGGTTTCTCTAATGTGACGATTGCACTACTATTCATTCATTTGCTCGCTCATTCGTTCATTTTTCTGGAAATTTATTTCACTTTCCTCTCCTTAGCAGGAGTCCTACGTTATCTTGCGAATGGGTCACTCCTCATCCCACAGGTGGGGCGCGGGGAACCCCACATTTAATCTTGTAGCTCCAAAGCTGTCACTTTTCTTTTAGGGAGAAGATAATAAGCTATGAAAGATGGGCCTTGTTCCTCAACGCTAGCAAGAGCCTTGGCTTTGTAGCAAATGTTTCCCACATCTGAGTTGTCTCTCTGGGCAAAATATCACCATGGAAGAAATTCGAGAAGTGGCTCCCAGGGTGACAGACAAATCAGGTTCAGGAACTGCCTCTAGGTTTGAGGAGAGTCACTCTCTGGTAACATTGATGTGCCCTTTCTTAGTATCTTTACCCGAGAGCAACATCCCACAATTATGAGCCGCCATTTTAATTTCCCAGAATGTTCCAGAATGCCCAACGTGGCAGCACTCTGGGGCACTGTGGAAAATTAAAACAGGGGGTTGCCAAGCCCAGAATGGGAGTCTTGGGCTGGTGGCAGCAATGTGGGTCCTGCTGAGGTGATAGGGCTGGAATGTGACCTGAAAAACTGGCCTGACCAGTTTTTCTGGAAGGATTTTCAAATACGTTTGGGATGTGGTTACGACATCCACACACTTTAGATACAACGAGGCTGTGGTTCTGTCAGTGTTATCACAGCAGGGTCCCTCAACCAGGTGTGCTCCCTCAGCTTTGGACTACAACTCCCATCAGCCCTTGCTAGCAGGCCCCAAGTAGGACAAGGCTGCTCTGTGGGAACTGAAGAGCCACAGGCAGTTTAGTCCGTTACAGAAACAGGAAGGAAGCAGAAGATGGAGACGGCAGCTCATGTCTCCACTTCAGCAAACATCCTGGAGCCAGCAAATGTGTACAAAGCTTGTGTACAAAGCAGAGTAACGCCCACATGCAAGACTTCCCTGACTCACTGTCTACCTGGCTTCAACCGCACTTTGTCTCCACGATGTGAAGGATTGGCTTTCAGCTCTTCCTCTCAGCCTATCACACACAGTGCGCACTGCTGCACCAGCAGTCTCAGGAATGTGCGAGCTGCATGTGCCTTTCATTGTTCTTGACTGTGGCTGAATTTGAGCATGTTCAGAGCCCCACGCAGGCAGGATTTTGGCATCAGGAAAACTGCTTCGCTTTTATTTCTTCATTTCCAGTGGATGAACTAAGTCAACATTCCTGAATGGCTGAGCTCATAAGCTCCTGGTGTGTGTGTGTGTGTGTGTGTTTTCGTTTTCCCTTATCCACACCCAAGTGAATTTCCTCTGGCCTCCTCTGGTTAGATCAGATCTTATAAGCAAAAGGCCAGGACTTTGATTTGTTTGCTGCCCCATTATATTTTAACCTTAGAGAGGCTTATGAACATACATCTTATTTTAATGAATTGACTTTTGTGCAACTTCGGAAAGCTTTTACAGAGTCATGATTAAATACAATAAACTCTGCTTATAGAGATGGGAGACACAGAGGCATATCAACAAACAAACATGTCTGCATTAGGGGATGTTCTGAAGGAGAGGAACTTATGCATTATATCTTGCGCTGCCCCTTATATAATGAAGCAAGAGAAAGATTTTTGGCACCTATAATCACAAAGTCTCCTGGCCAGAACACCTCTGACATGATTTTATATCTCCTCGCAGACACAGATAAGTATGTGACCTGGTGGGTAGCACTTTTTGCAACTGCCGCTAGGAAAATTAGAGCAAATGATATAGCCAAGGTAGCCACCAACTATAAAGGAGATGAATTTATTTGACCCTCTCTACATCAAGCTATATTCCATCTTTATCACCAAACTCCGAATATAATTGCACATTGTATTAATTAACTTTATTTTTTAATATATCAGTGACCATGTGATAATTTTAGCTTATAAATTTTAATGTTTAATGTCTTAACTTGTATATTAAGGTACTTTTATAGCTCTGTGTAGAGTAGCTAATGTCTTGATAATGTTAACGGAGAAATCTGAGGGCTCCCTTGGACAAAAGAACAAGGACACCAGCCAGGAATACCAGAGCAAAAGAAGCAGCCCGTAGGCTTGGTCTTTATTGAAGACTGTCGCGACAGGACTCCCACCTGCCACAAGGTGTAACAAGATGGAAGCCCCAAACAAAAGAGCCCCCAAACTTTTATTAGCTGCTAATCCCCATTTTACACCCCACCCCAAACTACATCACTCATACATCACGGTTACATCATGAAAGGGGAGGTCTGGTGGAAGTAATCTGAGCATCCTGGACCCTGCCCCATGGTTCTCCTTTCTTATATCCATCAAAACCTATTTACACTGTTGAATTTATCTTAATGCTGCCAACGTTTTCAAGTGTACACAATTTCCCCCCATATATTCGATAAACATTTTCCAATCTTCTTTAAATGTATGTTCTTCTTGTTCTCTTATTCTATATGTTAGATCCACAAGCTGCGCATATTCCATCAGTTTAAGTTGCCATTCTTCTTTGGTTGGGACCTCGCTGGTTTTCCATTTTTGGTATAATAATAATAATAATAATAATGGACACTTCCTTTCTCCCTGCTCTCCCTATTTTAGGTTGGCACTAGGGGAACGATTCGGGATGCTCCTGGCTTTAATGCATCGAGAGATGCTGAAGCAATTCGGAAAGCAATTCGGGGAATAGGTAAGTGGTCTCGGTCCTCTGCGTCCTTCTCCGTTTCAGGCAGGCAGGCAGGCAGGCAGAAGATCTGGTCAGATGTTGCCTCACCCTAGGATTTCTGTATAAACACCATCTTCTGCATCTGGCTCAGTCTGCTTCATGTTGCCTTAGTGTTGCACCAGCTCTTGTGGCTTTGATGCCTGCAGTCACCCGCAGGACACTGTGCAAAGCAACCACTGATAATCCCAGATTAACTTTAGGATCAGCCTGAGGGCCCTCATGTAGCTCATGTGGAGCAGGTAAAGGTAAAGGGATCCCTGACTGTTAAGTCCAGTCGTGGCCGACTCTGGGGTTGCAGCGCTCATCTTGCTTTATTGGCCAAGGGAGCCAGCGTACAGCTTCCAGGTCATGTGGCCAGCATGACTAAGCCGCTTCTGGCGAACCAGAGCAGCGCACAGAAACACTGTTTACCTTCCCGCCAGAGCAGTACCTATTTATCTACTTGCACTTTGACATGCTTTCGAACTGCTAGGTTGGCAGGAGCTGGGACCGAGCAACGGGAACTCACCCCGTCGCGGGGATTCGAACCACCGACCTTCTGATCGGCAAGCTCTAGGCTCAGTTTAGACCACAGCACCACCCGCTCATGTGGAGAGCCTGATGCAAATTGCACCCCCGAGCAGGAGTAAAAACTTTCTGTATCTGTTGGGAAATCTGTTAACAGACATTGGCCTCCCTCTGTCTCAAGAGAAAATGTAGTGTTCCTCCAGGGTCGTGAAGTCAACCCATTGCATTAGCAGCAGCAAAGCGACCTCTCTGGTGTGCAAGCTTAGGCAGTGTGGATGGAGGGCCTGGGCTGCCCAAATGACAAGACCCACCCCCTCTTGGCCCTGCTGATGGGAGGAACACAGAGCAAAATATTTGGCACCAGCTTGACTGCAGGAGTTTCCAGAAGGAAGAGGTTGGATTTGATATCCCGCTTTATCACTACCCTAAGGAGTCTCAAAGCGGCTAACATTCTCCCTTCCCTTCCTTGCCCACAACAAACACTCTGTGAGGCTGAGAGACTTCAGAGAAGTGTGACTAGCCCAAGGTCACCCAGCAGCTGCATGTGGAGGAGCGGGGAAGCGAACCCGGTTCACCAGATTACGAGTCCACCGCTCTTAACCACTACACCACACTGGCAAGGTGCCATCCAACCGTCTTATGGATTTCTGTAGGTTTACTCTTTCACATTTTTGTTCTCTCGAAGATATCCCATAAGGCAGCAGAGATTTAGTGTCAGACTTTTCCTTCTCCTACATGGGATACCTTCCCAGGTTGACGAGCCCCACCTGCCCCTCACTTTTGCTATATGACCTTTCAAGAACCCTTTCAGCGCTATTAATTTTTAAAACACACACACACATACGTATCAGGTACACAAACATTAGTCATAACAGCTGACAATTTATTTGCATAGTCTGTGAAACAAAATGACACTAAAACGCAAATTATCGTAAACTTCCGTTTTATATATATATATATATATATATATATTCATTCATTCCCCACCCATCGGTGCTGGACCTCAGTGTCCGGACTAAACAATGGGGGTAGAGACGCTCCTTCAGGTACACAGGGCCAAGGCTGTTTAGGGTCAGCACCAACACTTTGAATTGTGCTCGGAAGCATACTGGGAGCTAATGTAGGTCTTTCAGGACCGGTGTTATGTGGTCTTGGCGGCTGCTCCCAGTCACCAGTCTAGCTGCTGCATTCTGGATTAGTTGCAGTTTCCAGGTCACCTTCAAAGGTAGCCCCATGCAGAGCACATTGCAGTAGTCCATGCGGGAGATAACTAGACAGCTGCCCTGGACACAGAATTGACCTGTGCCTCCATGGACAGCTGTGAGTCAAAGAAAGTTGCCTTATACTGAGTCTGACCATTGGGGCATCAGACTCAGTGTTGCCTACACTGGATGGCAGCAGCTCTTCGGGATTTTAGACAAGGTTGTCCGCCAGCCCTACCTGGAGATTGAACCCAGAACTTTCTACATGCAGATCAGATGCTCTACCACTGAACTATGGCCCTTCCCAGTGTTAGTCATATTCAGAGCAGGCCCACATCGAAATCGGTGCACATGAAACTTGAGGCTATTGATTTCAGTGAGTTTGACTCAGTTGCAAACGAACAGCTAATTATTCCATGCCGGCTTAGCAATTAAACTCTCCTGTGGTCCACAGAAATGATGATCCGCAGTTCTTGAATTTAATTCCATTCATTCCAGCCGAATCAGGGTTGCTTGTACAAGAATGAGAACAAAGTTATCTAAACAATTCATTTTCCCACGGTTTCCCCTTTTTCACCTCTGTGCCATTGATCCAATAAGTTAACACGACACGTTTAATTAAAGCTCTGCACTTAATTTCCCACTCAGTGATAGCTTCAGTTCCCCCCTCCCTCCAGTTGGCATTTCTGCAGCCAATAATTAGTCATAAATTAATTAAATCTCACGTCCTGGTCTTATCCCTTCCAGAAAACCCAAATTCATTATTTTGTGATCTGCTTCTGATAGCTAATAGCTATCGACGGAACTCTCCTCTGTGAATTTGTTGATTTATCTTTTAAAGTCGTCCAGCCTATAGAGCATCACAAAAGGACTGGTGGGTGTTCTTCCAATGCACAGTCTGCAGGGGTTGCCATATTGTGCTATTGAGGGGCTTGTGGCAGCTGTCATGGCTGGATGCAGAGGAACGGTGGGAGGAAACAGCTGGGGAACCCCTAAGAGAAGATGCCTCAGAGCCAGAGGGTGATGAGTGGTCAGATGGGGGAAGAGAGAGAAGACTGGGAGGAGGAGGTGTCAGAAGCTGGAGCAGTAACAGGGCTTAGTGAGCAGGAAGAGGCTGTGGAGAGAGCAGTCCAGACTCAGAGGTAGAAGTGGAGGCTGAAGAGGAGTGGAGCCAAGAGGCAGAGATGAGTCTGGCTGGTGAAGAGGCATGGGTGTCTCCCCCTCCTGCTGCGACCAGCTCCCGTCCCCACTGGTTTCCCAGAACTAGAAAAGGGATGAAGAGAGTGGAGCAAAGGCAGACAAAGCAACAGAGTCTCAGATTGCTCCGGAAGGTGCTGAGGGAGGAGGAGACTTAGGCAACTGTGGGATGGTGGGAACCTTCAGTCCTCACAACTGACTCATTGTGGCAAGACCTACTGGGAAGAGTTGCTGCGCTTGCTAGGCCTGGCCTCCTGAGATGTTTTGTTTCTTTCCCCCTTCACATTTGACAGGAAATATCTTTAATATCCGAAGTCTACAGAAACGCTTTGTCAAGCAGCCGCAAATTCCCTACATAACATAGATGTATCCTGCTGGCAACTCTTAAATTCTCTCTTTTTAAAAAAAGAATAATAATTTTTATTAAATTTTCCATTTTAACAATCCAATCAAATCACATTAAGTATTCCAAATTATACAAATACATATAGTCCAAATATTCTGCCAAATTATAAATTTTTGTTGGGGCTTCCCATGCTTCAAGTTCAGTGGGGTTCCAATAATCTTATGTTTCTACTGCCTTGAGTTTCCAATAGTTCCTTCTTTAAATCTTCCTGTTGCTATCCTTTTCTTTCGTGGCCTCTGAGTTGTTTCCACAGGGGAGTTGAAATAAACAATAATGTGCTTCTGTGTGAAATTTGTATGACTCTCCTTTTTTTTTTTGCAGCTGGTAAGTCTGTTTGCAGAATGTCCTCACATGCTGGTGTTTATGCCGAATCAATCCAAAAGTCCTTCTCTGGTGGCAGACGCCATCTTCACTCAGTTCCGATGAAATAAAATCTTCCCTTCCACCGGGAACAATTTGGGAGGCTGATTACTCCCATCTCAGCCTCTAAATTACCTCGTGGGAGCTGGAGAGATGGTATTGTCGGCCATCTTCCATGGCACCCCTAGGGGAAGCCCCGGCAACTCTTAAATTCTCTCAGAATTACCAGAGAGCTAGTTGCATTCGCTTTCATATCATGGGTGCAGAGCTGCAGGTTTACTCAAACCGAACAGACTCAGGTTTTCATCAGCTATGCATGAGGAGGACACAGGCTTATATTAACATTTATTTCAATTTGCTGAAGAGTTTATGAGCCACACAATGGTCTCTAGCATGTAGGAAGTCAAAGAGTTCTCTGTACACTTCTACTCCGTATGGGACTTAGATGACACTCGAACATTACACTCCTCTAAATGTTCCTAAGGTTTCACACATTTCTCAGTCTGTTCACAATGCTCCCTGACAGGAGTTTAAGGATCCAGAAGCTCTCCTTCCTCCTGGGGGTCCCCGCTCCGGCCTTCCAGCTCCTTCTCCTCCTGCCACCATATCTCTGCAAATCTCCCTCAAGCCTCACTCCAGCTGTATTGTTCCTTTGGATAAAGAGTTAACTTCACTGGCATTTTTAAGTTTTTGCTGACCTGCTCCTGACACCCAGCCTGGCAGCGGCCAGTCCTGAGTAGCGCACAAGATTAGGACCAGGGTTTTCTTTTTTGCTGGGCATAAAGCAGGAACGCGGAGCTTTTGTGAGCCCGAGAGCCACATTGCCTCCTGGGCAATCCTTCGAGGGCCACATGGCTTCTGAGCAGGGTCAGAGCAAAGTGGGTGGAAGAAAGAAGGCAAACTTCACCTGTGTGCAGTAGGCCAATTTCTACAACACTCCTGGCATGAACAGGGAAGCGAGGTGTAGTGGTTAGAGTGTTGGACTAGGACAGGGTTCTGCAACCCGCGGCTCCGGAGCCGCATGTGGCTCTTTTACACCTTTGCCGCGGCTCCGGGGCGGATACTAGCGAGGGGAGGAGGCGCATTGTGCGCCCCGACACTCCCCACTGTGGCGGGCGCTGTACTGGCTGTGACGTCGCATGGGGCGGTGCGTGCGTTAGTCACGCACCGTCCCGACGTCACCTTCCCGCCCACCCGCTACATTGTAAGGGGCATGTACGCTGGTCACTGCATTGAAAGGGGGCATGTACGCTGGTCACTGTTTTGAAGGGGAGTGAAGAACACACACACACAAAAAGGTAACTTGTTAATTTAACGTTTATTTCTATGAGGAGGAGTAATTCTGAGGGGTCAAACAAAGAAATAATAAAAAGTGACAAAAAAGTTATTTTTATAATGACGAGTTTTGCGGCTCCCAGTTTTTTTTTCTTTGGAAACGGGTCCAAGTGGCTCTTTTTGTCTTAAAGGTTGCAGACTCCTGAACTAGGATCTGGGAGACCAGATCCTCAACTCAACCCTGAAGCTTGCTGGGTGACCCTGAGCCAGGCATAGTCACTTGGTCTAACCTACCTCACTGGGTTGTTGTGAGGCTAAAATGAAAGAGGAAGGAAAGCTACAGTATGCATGCCACTTTGAGCTCCATGGAGAAATAATAATAATAATAATAATAATAATAATAATAATAATAATAATAATTTTTTATTTATACCACGCCCTCCCCAGCCCTGACTGGGCTCAGGGCGGCTAACACCAAATATAAAACAATTGATTGAAATACAGCTTAAAAAACAAGATTAAAATACAACATTAAAACATTAAAATGCAACCTCATTTAGGGTAGGCTATAAGTATAATAACGAATCAATAAAATATGTTGTAGGGAGTAGCAGATTGCAGTGGATTTAAACTCATCATTTGAATGTGATTATTCTGATTTTTTTAGCTTGGGAGTTGAACCACTTTTTAGACTTATTTTTTTTTTAATCGGTTCTGTTTTGCATTTTAGGTACTGACGAAAAAACCCTGATCGACATCCTCACGGGAAGATCGAATGCTCAGCGGCAGCTGATTGCGAAGGAGTACAGGGCAGCTGCAGGAAAGGTATGGTTCGGAGATGATCTCTAGGCTGCAAAAGACTCCATCAGGAATAAGGGGGGGTGTTCTCTTGTGATGATGCCATTAAATATGACCGCTCACTTGCTGGATCATCACCTTGTCGTGGTGAGTGGGCTTGCAAGTTCCTATGACCCTTGTGAGCGAAGCCATCGGGAATCTCTTACTCCCAGCAGGGTGTCAGCAACTGGCTGGCCACTGTAAGGCAGGATTCTGGGCTAGATGCCTGGCCTGATCCAGCACACCTCATATGTTCTTATCAAACATAAGAAGCAGGAGACCAGCCTTCAAAATGCCCCACTCGGCCATGAAGCTTGCTGCAGATGGTGTCATCTCAGACTAACATTAGTTGTTCTTGCAAAGCTACCTTGAGATCCAGCCTGTTTATAGCATCCTGAATTTTTTAAGGACTGGGCAGAAACAGGGTGGTGAAGGAGATGGCAATAGGGGCCAGTTGAAAGTAGGGCTAAAGTGTTGTGCCTGGTATGTATGTAGGACACATGGGTGGGGGACTATGAAGCCATATGCTTCCTCAACCTCGGCCCTCCAGATGTTTTGAGACTACAATTCCCATCCTCCCTGACCACTGGTCCTGCTAGCTAGGGATCATGGGAGTTGTAGGCCAAAAACATCTGGAGGGCTGAGGTTGAGGAAGCTTGCCATATGCTATCAGCAGTCAGGGTATATTAGGGAGGATCCCTGGGAGGTTAGGAGTGTTAGAATTCCTGTCCATGATTGCAGTCATGGGATTGTTGTCTTTCACATGACGGTATATGTTTTGACTCCACAGAGTGGGAAGTTTGTTTGTGTTGCTGTGTTCCGTGAAGTGGGACTATTGTCCTTTGTCTTTTTCCCTTTGCTGTCTGATGCTAGAGAGAGGGAGCCATGTTGCAGTGCTCCGTGTGTGTTTATATGTAAATAAAGCAGATTAGCCAAAATGCTGAGTTGCTGAGGTCTGTCACGCAAACTGCGCAGACTCTGCGGATCCCTAAGTGTGCCGGTGTCGGTTGGCATCGGTCACTGTAATGTTCAGGCTGAAGAAAGCTTTTGAAGCTCCCGAACGAATGGCCAGGAGGGAGGGAACATGCCAGTCGGGCATGTGTCATGCCAAGGTCCTACTCGAGTGTAGGCTGAGCTCCTGACAAGGAGGTCAGGTCTCTTCAGTCTGGGATGAGGCAGAGATCTAATTTTCAATTTGCATGGCTGGACCACTTCAGGCTGTAGGTGACACATGATGGATTCTCCTCTCTCTCTCTCTCTCTCTCTCTCTCTCTCTCTCTCTCTCCCTCCCTCCCTCCCCCCCTTTCTTCCATGTAGACAACCTTCTCCTAGTTTTCCAGCTGCAAGGATCTTTTGGATGGAGGAGCAGTCATTCCTAGCGCACCCTCCCATGCGTGTTTATTTTCTTGCTGCTCTCATTATTTTAAATTGACATAGCCACCCATCAGTAAATATTTGCTGGGCACCTTGCAAACAAAGCATATTCCTAAAAACGCAGCATGTAAACGCTAGCATCAGCGATGAAAGACATCAAAACAAACAAGCCATGCTTGCAACAGTGATGGAACAAAACCATGTGCAGCCCAGATTTAAAACCACAATTAAAACAAATTTCGGCTGCTTAATGTGCTGTGTGAAGTGGTCTTGCCCAGGCACGGTTTTTTGTCCTCACTGAGAATGAGGCTACAATTAAGAGAGAGATTCGGTGGACGGTTTATCTCTGTTGTAAAGGGCAGACCGTCCTTGGAGCCTGGATAGGATTTTTGACAGCGAGAAACATTGACAGCTCTGTTTCTTTCTCTTTTTGGAAAGGATATGAAAGATGCTTTGAAGGGAGATCTCTCTGGCAATTTGGAGCGTATAATGGTGGCTCTTGTAACGCCTCCGGCAGTGTTTGATGCTAAACAACTGAAGAAATCCATGAAAGTAAGTCTATGAAGGCAGCGCTGCGCCTTCTGTTATTTACTCGTTTGGGAAATTTCGCTTGCCATATTTTTTTTGCATCCGCTGCTGTTTTGAGGAAATTAAAAGATGGCCATATTGCATTGCAAGAATGTGTTGCGTTCTCAAAGTAAAGGAAGGATATTTACTTGAGGCGTTCCCAAAGTAAAGGAAGGATTGAACTCTGATTAATAAGAATACACACAGAGACTTGAACCAGCAAGACTCTGGGAAGGGTGCGTATAATTGTATCTCTCTGTGCCTATCCCTGTGCTGCTCCTGGCCCAGGTAGTTTTTATTCACAAAAGAACTTTTTACAGAGTGTTCGTAAGAACCAATCAGATTTCTTCTGAGCATTTCCACAAACCCACATGGGGAGAAAGTTAAACCACTATAACTAATTAATCACAGGGTAAACAAAGAACAGAACTACAAAGAAGAGCATTTGGTAACCCTGGAGGTAATAAACAAGCAATACATATGATAAGAAGGATGGCCAGTAGGACAGTGACCATTATCACCTTAATGGGAGATCTGTTTCCTGGCCCTAAGATTAACATCCTACATCAAAGAAACTTGCCCACTATCTTTATGGCCCAGGATGCATGCCTGGCAAAGCAACTGGGCTGTGTACATGACAAGAGAAATGGGCAGCAGAGGCAAAAGGGCATGAAGAGGGGATGAATGTAGAATCTTATGGGATTTAATCAGAAATTATCGTCAATATATCAAACCCAGTCAACACAATGCTTTCATCGTGGACACGATGGCTTGATGTATATTTTATAATTCCTCATGGTAATCCCATCTGATCCCTACAGAATGTCTCATTTTAAATGAAGTTGTCTTTGCACATGGTTTGGGATTCAGAAAAAGGCATGTGGAGGTTGCAGCCACTTTCAAAGCTGGACCTCTGCTTGCCATTTCCCTTGCATCAATTGTCACTTAACGGAGGAGACAAGCCGCTCCATAAAACTGAGCAGCAGCTAGCCTCTTCAGCAGAGGAAGAGCAAGCGCAGCTCCACCTCTCCATACAGTTTCCTCTGGTGTATGCATGCCTCTTCTCTGGATTTTGGCCCCAGAGGACACACAGATGTTCTGGTTCAGGCATGACATTCCGTCCCAACAAGGACCATCACATTTGTGTCAATGAACTGGGACGCTATGTGCTGTAAATATCTTTTTCAGTGCCACCAACCCTTTCAGAGGGCAGCTCAGTTCTAAAATCCATACTTTGGACCAGCAGTTAATGGATTGATCAATTCATTGGTCGATGCTTTCGGCACCCATTTAAACTGTTAGCTCACACCATTGACTGTTCGCCAGTGGTGTTAACCAATCCCGATAGGTGCAGTCAAGGGAATGATAAGCCCCCTGTGGCTTTGGTGAAAAAGTTAAGCACTCACTTAAAGCCCTTGTGTTGATGTCAGTTAGGAGCTTAGATGTTCTTGGCTGAATTGTCTTCAGTCCATCTCCCTTCTGCTGCCATGAATCTTCGGGATGTTACCGCCTCTGTTGACATTTTGTCTTTTGGCTCTTCAGAAGCTTGCTAAATGCTAGATCCCCAAGGAGGCCCTACAATGGAAGCCTACAGTGGAAAGTGCCTAAATCATAGCATCTTAGTTGGAAGGGACCCCAAGAGTCATCTAGTCCAGCCCCCCGCAATGCAGGAATCTCAGCTAAAGCATCCATGACAGATGGCCTTCCAACCTCTGCTTAAAAACCTTCAAGGAAGGATAGTCCACCATCTCCCGAGGGAGACAATTCCATTGATGAACAGCTCTTACTGTCAGAAAGTCTTTCCGAATGTTGAGTCGGAATCTTTTTTCTCGTAGCTTGAAGCCATTGGTTCGATTCCTACCCTCGAGGAGCAGGAGAAAACAAGCTTGCTCCATCTGAAAGCCCTTGAGATATTTGAAGATGGCCATTCGGTCTCCTCTTTTCCAGGCTAAACAAATCCTCTTACTCTTCTTTTTGCTTCTAGGGTACTGGAACGGACGAGCAGGCTCTGATCGAGATCCTGGCCTCAAGGACTAGCAAGCAAATGAAAGAAGTAGCTCAGGCATATTACACAGGTAACGATGACTTGGAGTGAAGGGATTCTGGTCAGGCAGGTGCTGTAATTGCTACTTTTCCAGCAGACAATACTAGCTGGAGATCGGTCAAAGAGGTTTCTTCAGTCATTGCAAGAGGCTGGGTGGGGAGAAAACCTTTTCTTGCTGGATAGCTGAGGAGTGGTTGGCTTGGAGAGGATGAAGCAGGCGAAAGCTAGTCTGTTGCAGTGGAATGCCGTCCCCTTCAGCCAGTGTGGTGTAGTGGTTAAGAACGGTAGACTCGTAATCTGGGGAACCGGGTTTGCGTCTCCGCTCCTCCACATGCAGCTGCTGGGTGACCTTGGGATAGTCACAATTCTCTGAAGTCTCTCAGCCCCACTCATCTCACAGAGTGTTTGTTGTGGGGGAGGAAAGGAAAGGAGAATGTTAGCTGCTTTGAGACTCCTTCGGGTAGCGATAAAGCGGGATATCAAATCCAAACTCCTCCTCCTCCTCCTCCTCCTCCTCCTCCTCCTCCTCCTCCTCCTCCTCTTCTTCTTCTTCTGCCACCAAGTTTTTGAGCATCTTCTTTCCCTGCAGAGGCTTCCTGGAGGCTGACTTACTTGGTGCTCTGATGAGTCAATAATGTTATAAATCTCAGGAGTAAATCTGGCAAAGTTATCCTGAGGTATCTGAGCAATCTCTTAAACAGCCTGGAGTAATGTGTCAGGCCCTTATAAATCTTAGCTGCTTTGCCCTTTGAAAATATATATCGCAAGATTCATTAAACCCGGCTCCATGGTGTCAGTTAGCCACATTAACAATGGGGGCCAAACTCCTCTCCAGTCCTCTAGTACTTACGTAGTTGGGGCCCTTCCAGAAATCCTTTTGAATGTGTGTCCAGGATGGTTTTTTGTGCTTTTTGATGCTGTCAAGGGCGTTCAGGTGTGATCACACTTTCAAAACCCTTTGTGCAAAGTTTTGGGGCAGTCAGATCCCTTTTCTTGATAGTGTTTGTATCCTCGCCTGGCTTGATTCTCTTAAGTTCAACTACGTATACAGATTCTGTGGGGTCTTCTCCAGCAACCTGTTCTGAATATTCATTTATTCATGTATTCATTTATAAAGGAAGAAAAGAAAATGTGAAGAAAGGGAAACAGAGAGAAAAGAAGAAAGGCCAAAAGGGCAATGTAACACATTAAGTAAAGTCAAATTTAAATGCTATAGGTTATTATATAGATATAAGTGACATTATTATCCTAGTCTAAATATGGTTACCAATAACCCACCACGCTGTGTATTAAAGCTTTCCGGATATCAATATATTTGTCCAAACAAAGTCTGTGTCTATAGTCAACCGGTTCGTACCTGTAATTGTCATGAAACCAATGGAACAAGCGAGTAGCTATTAAACCAGCCTTTCTCAACCTGTGGGTCCCCAGATGTTGTTGAACTACAACTCCCATCACCCCTAGCTAGCAAGGCCAGAGCTCAGGGATGATGGGAGTTGTAGTCCAACAACATCTGGGGACCCACAGGTTGAGAACCACTGTATTAAACCCTCATCCCCTTTACTCAGTTTTGGCTGACATCAGCTGGCCACTTTTCTGCTTGCTGGGATGCTTGGCAGGTCTTCCTCCTTGCAACCCATTGCCAGATTGCTTCGGTCCTTAGAGGTCCTTTCCTGGAAAGGATCCTCTTCTGCTGCGTTTCAGAAAGATGAATTGCTGAGCTGTAGAGAAGCTGAGCATGATGGATTGGACAGTTTAATGCAGCCAGCCCAGCGGAGTCTATACTTGGAGCCGGTACAGCTCTGGGGGTAGCAGCGAGGCCCATGGCTTTGATTAATATCTGGAAGATTTATGGCTGTTTTCCTGGTGAAGTGGGTAAAGCTTTTCACTAGGAGTGCATTTAGCTTCATGCTCGAGCACGGCGTATTCTAATAGGGAGCCCTGCAAGCTGAGCCAGGCAAATAACACAAGTTTGGAGAGCACGTTTATTGAGCCGTGATGGACTTCTTGGAGGCCCGCTGGCATTGCAAGCGAACGATTGTGGTTAATTGCTTGGCAATGTCCTCTAAAAGCAGGCGGGGGGAATCTCCGGCCCTCCAGCCCTTTCCATTTGGCCCTCAGAATTCTGTCCAGCTGTCCAGCTACTTTCTTGGGCTCCATGATCACTGCAGATGGTGACAGCAGCCACGAAATTAAAAGACGCCTGCTTCTTGGGAGAAAAGCTATGACAAACCTAGACAGCATCTTAAAAAGCAGAGACATCACCTTGCCAACAAAGGTCCGTATAGTAAAAGCTATGGTTTTCCCAGTAGTGATGTATGGAAGTGAGAGCTGGACCATAAAGAAGGCTGATCGCCGAAGAATTGATGCTTTTGAATTATGGTGCTGGAGGAGACTCTTGAGAGTCCCATGGACAGCAAGAAGATCAAACCGATCCATTCTTAAGGGAATCAGCCCTGAGTGCTCACTGGAAGGACAGATCATGAAGCTGAGGCTCCAATACTTTGGCCACCTCATGAAAAGAGAAGACTCCCTTGAAAAGACCCTGATGTTGGGAAAGATGGAGGGCACAAGGAGAAGGGGACGACAGAGGACGAGATGGTTGGACAGTGTTCTCGAAGCTACAAACATGAGTTTGACCAAACTGCCGGAGGCAGTGGAAGACAGAAATGCCTGGCGTGCTCTGGTCCATGGGGTCACGAAGAGTTGGACATGACAAAACGACTAAACAACACAGCAACAGGAAGTGTATCTCTTGAATTGAGGCAGTGTTTCGCAAGCTTGGGTCCCCAGCTGCTGAACTATAACTCCCATCATCCCTGACCACTGGTCCTTCTAGCTAGGGATGATGGGAGTTATAGTCCAACAACAGCTGGGGGACCCGGACTTCCGGGGTGGCGCCACCGGCAATGGCGGACTCCCTCTGAACTGGAGGGACTAGCTCCGTGGGAAACGGGTCTTCTCCGCTACGGCGAAGCGGGGACCCTCTTAAAAATCACAGGCGGATGAAGCCTGTGACCATGGGACTCGGCGGGCACCTTTAGCGCCCCCCCAACCCGCTAAGGAACCCACTAACGGGCTCCGAAGTGAAGAGGGGGAAGTGGCGCGGTGCTGTGAGTCAACTGCTATTTCCGTGGAGCGAAGCCGCATAGCCGTTGCCGGAGAGCGCTGCCTTTTTCCTGGGACAATTTGGACTTTAAAATAAGCACCCGTGAGTACTTAGACTTTGAATAATTGGACATCAAATAAGGACTAGCGAGCAGGAAAGAATTGGATTTTAAAAATTCTACTCTAATTTGGTACGGAACGGGAAGGTCTAAACAGGAAGTCAGCCTTCCGTTCTTTTGTAAACAGAATAAAGCAAAGACAATTTAAACTAGAGCTCAGAAAATCGTTTTTAAAAGATTGGATTTCACCATTTAAAATTGTGGAACCCCTTTGACAGCAGGAGAAGGGGGGGATCTTTTTGGATTGTTTAAAGTGACTTTAAAGTAAAGTAACTTTCCTCCGTCCTGATCCTGGAGCGGGGTGTCAGGACTGACGTTTGAAGTTCATTGACCAAAGACAAGTGTTTTTGACAGATAGCTAAAAGAAGAGAAACATAGTGACTCCACTGTTCCCTTTCGCATTTTAAAGGAATATATATGGACAAAGTATCTTAAAAAAGGAAACTTTGTTGCAAGAACAAATAGAAGTCTTCCCCCTAGGGGGAGTCTGTGAAACTGTAACTAACTCCAGGGAGCCGGCAGCTGTCACAGATTACAACCGTGGGAACAGGCACCTGACCTTGCAGGACAATGTATTCAGAAGCTTTGTTGTGCGCTCTCTATAAAACAAATGCCCTACTGGAACAATTACACGAGAAGGTGAATTGGATGGCGACTTCGACTAGAAATTTTGAACAGGCAGTGGGAAACTTTGAACAGACAGTGGGAAAATATGTGGAGCCCACTCAGGAATTAAATCAGGAGTGTGTCTTGACAGAACAGGCCCAACAGGAATATGATTTTTCGGATTTGACAAATGAACTTGGAAAAAGCCAGATTTGGAAAGGAAAAGTTTGGCTTGGTTTGGAAATGGGGGGCTGGATTGACCCCCCCTATGCTGGGATGTTTGGACTTTTCAAATAAGGCAATGGGCCGTGAGATGTTTGGGACTGTGGGGGCTCTTAATTTTGGAGGGTCTTTGAAACATGCTTTTAAATACTACATGGAATTCAGTGTTGAACATGGAAAAGGGGCTGATCCGTCGAGAAGGGTTAAAAACATTGTCAAGCTGGAGTTACCACGAGCAGGAGACAAGGGAAAATACAGTTACAAATATGAAGAAGAGCCGCGGAAGGGACATGGAAGAGACTTGAGGGCCTCGGATATAAGGTTGCCAGGTTAATGGGCCAGATCGACGGGAATAAGGACTGACAAAACCCGGAACCAGGAGGAAGGGACGTTGGATGAAGATTGGATTTGTTTGTATCTCTTTTCTTTACCATTAGAACTGTTTTATAAAATTGATGAATGTTAGAAAAATGTTGGAATGAAATTACTTGGCTTTAGCAAAGATGTTTAAAGAATTATGAAAGAATGTTATGGTTATGAGAAGTTGGTAAGGATAAGATTTAAGTTTTAAGCTTTAAGGTTTATTTTATTATAGAAAGATAAGATCAAAACAGATTAGGGTAATGCAATGACAGAATATTATGAAATATGGAAAGGATTTGCTGGGATAATTAATAACTAGGATACAAAGAAAGGGAGGAGGAGGAGGTCTAAGAAAGAAGGCAATGACAGTTAAGGATCTGAAAATAAGGAATTTGTTTTTAAATGTTTTTAAAGGTTTGTGATGTATTTTTGTATTTTCCTTTTTTTTCTGTCACTTTTTCTTATTTTGAATTTTTTACTCATATGGTGGGAAGGGGTTTGTTTTTTTTACTTTTCTGCTTTGTCAACTATTTTTATTTTGTACTTTCTTCTGTTTTTATTTTTTTTATTATTTTTTGTAACATTTTAAAATTTTCAATAAATATCTTTTTTAAAAAAAAAAAACAGCTGGGAACCCAAGCTTGAGAAACGTCGATTAAGGAGGAATGTGTGTGTTGGGGTATGAGCAGGCAAGTTTCAGAAGAGGCGGTTCACTACTTGACCACCGCCTTGAGTTAAGCCAGCCAGCTGAGAAATACAAATTTATGTTTATTCATTTACTGTATCCCTACCTCACCTTTTTTTGTCCAAGGAGCGCAAGCACAAAGTTTTCCTCGCTCCTCAGTGAATCCCACAACAACCCTGTGAGGAAGGTTAGGCTGAGAGACAGCAGCTTGCCCAAGATCACCCAGTGAGCTTAAGGCCAAGTCAGAATTGAACCCTGCTTTCCCAGTTCCTAGTATTATACTCTAAACGAGGCATGTCCAAAGTCCATTTTGGGGGCCTAATTGTGGATATTTCACCCCTCCCATTGCAAGAATCTCCTGACAATGTTTTCAGAAAGGAGGGGGCGGAATCTGCTCGTCGCTTCTTCTGCTCCAACCTGACCCTGTGGGAGTCTGAGTGTTATCTATGTAGAGATAAGATGACTGCTTAAGCAACTGTAACACTCATCCAGTCCAGTAGCCTCCGATAGTCATTAGTCTTTAGTTACTAGTTTATTTTAGTTTGCAGTAGCTGTAAAAGAATAAAGAAGTTATGCTTCAAAGCCGTCGTTTGTGTAGTTCATACTCTGCTGTGCTCCGCTGACTTTGGCACTGAGTTTGGTCTCACAGCTCAAAGCCATTGCACTTAGACCTGCTTCCCCGCAGTGGAAGGTCTCTGGAAGTGTTTTCCCAGCTGCTTGGCCCAGTCGGGGCTGAAGAGGTTAAGCCCAGTTGTTGGCACCAGCTCAAAGGCGAAGCTGACACTAATCTGGCTCGCCGGTCAGTTTAATCCGGCCCCTGTGGCAGTTTATTTCCTGGTTGGTTGGCCCTTTGGTGGGCCCTCACGGCCCTTCACTTCATCAAATCTGGCCCTCTTTGGAAAAGTTTGGACACCACTGCTCTAAACACTACACTGAACTGGGTGTTAAATCCTTTTGATGCCGGACTCTATGCTCCCTTATGGCTTTGAAGTTGTCCCATAATCTGCCCCTTAGGACTGACTCTAAGGCAAAGCCATACCTTTCTTCCATTGACAAAAGGGTTGACTTAACATCTGCCTTTATCAGAATATTATCTAACTGGGATGACAGCAGGGTGATTTAAGCAGGTCCATTCCGGCCACTAAAGGTCGTTGCCGGTTCTCCAGAGGTTCAGGGTGCGTGGGGTAGCCTGGGAGAGGCCATTCTCTGTGGCAGCCCTTAAATTGTGGAATTTCCTCCCACATCTGACACATCTGGCATCTTCATTATCCAGCTCCCAGGATACCTTGCAGCTTCTTCAGAAGGACACACATTAGCCTGTGGTCCGGAGCTTCCAAGAATAAAGTTCGGCCATTAAGGACTTTCTAGAAATTTCCTCCATGCTCCAAGGCCATTGTCAGGCAAAAGGCATCTTTCAGATTTAGGATATTGAGGCACAGCAGCTGTCTAGCCCTTCCTTAAACTGTTAGGAGAAACTTGGTTGGAACCAGTTTGATTTCGTGTGAGATGGCAAGCATTTTTTAAAAAAATAATACTTTAAATTATGGAAAACAAGGCTTTAGTTGTGTGGGGCAGCCTCTCTTTGCCTGTGGGCCAAAATTAGAGCTGTGGAATCAAGAGGACTCAGATCGGCACTCCTGTGGCCTTTGTGAGGCTAAAGATGGGGTCTATAGCCTGGGAATTGTCGTACGCATGGCATTCCTTACTGCTCCTGGTCCCTGAAATTTTGCTTATGGGCTTTTTCTTTCCAGTTTATAAGAAGAGCCTTGGGGATGACATCAGCTCCGACACATCTGGCGACTTCCGACAAGCCCTGTTAACTCTGGCTGATGTAAGAGAGCCTCCAGAAATTCTCTTGTTATCTGTGCCTTGCCCGTTTACGGCCAGGTTGGGATTCCAAGATTCCCAAATCCGTTAGCTTATTTGTGGTATTTCTTTCTTTTTGGGATTCTGCACCTCTCTTTCAACAGGCCCTATGGCAAACGTTGGGTCCAAATCCTGTTGATCTCCTCCTGCACTGAGTTCCGATAATGATGGCACGTTCAGAAGAAGGCTGTGCATGAGATAAATGTTGAACTCCACAGCTGCATTGGTTTATATACCGTATTTTTTGCTCTATAAGACTCACTTTTTCCCTCCTAAAAAGTAAGGGTAAATGTGTGTGCGTCTTATGGAGCGAATGCAGGCTGCGCAGCTATCACAGAAGCCAGAACAGCAAGAGGAATTGCTGCTTTCACTGCGCAGCGATCCCTCTTGCTGTTCTGGCTTCTGAGATTCAGAATATTTTTTTTCTTGTTTTCCTCCTCCAAAAACTAGGTGCGTCTTGTGGTCTGGTGCGTCTTATAGAGCGAAAAATACAGTAACTGGTCACTCTGGCTCTTATAAATACACAGTTCAGAGCGTAGGAAACTGCCTTGAGTCAAACCATTGGTCCACCTTATACTGAATGGCAGGACTTATTCAGCATTTGGCAAGACTCTTTCCCAGTTCCAACTGGAAATGACAGGAATGGAACCCAGAGCCTTCTGCCAGCACTGGATTTAGGGTAGTGCGGGTGGTTCCCTCACATGGCGTACCGAGCCAAAGGGGCACAAAATAATGATGATTATGAAACCTATATTTAAATGGGTACCATATAAAGATCCATAAAAAGCAACTGTACCCAAATAAATTGTGAAAAGAAGAAATATTTAGCGGTGGGCACCAAATTTCATGCCCAGGGCGCCATATTACCAAATTCCACCCCTCCTTCTGCATTCAAAGCAGATGTTCCACCATAGCCCTTTGCTTCAGCTGACCCTTCTCCTGCCCCCCAAATCTGTTGCCTGGGGTGGGGGCATCACCCATGGGAGACTGGTGCCTGGTAATGCCTGGTCAACCTATATAGGTAAAGGTAAAGGGATCCCTGACCATTAGGTCCAGTCATGGCCGACTCTGGGGTTGCGGCACTCATCTCGCTTTATTGGCCGAGGGAGCCGGCATACAGCTTCCGGGTCATGTGGCCAGCATGACTAAGCCGCTTCTGGCGAACCAGAGCAGTGCACGGAAACGCCGTTTACCTTCCTGCCGGAGCGGTCCCTATTTATCTACTTGCACTATGACGTGCTTTCGAACTGCTAGGTTGGCAGGAGCAGGGACCGAGCAACGGGAGTTCACCGCGTCGTGGGGATTCGAACCGCCGACCTTCTGATCAGCAAGTCCTAGGCTCTGTGGTTTAACCCACAGCGCCACTTGCACGTAAATCCATTGCTACAGGAGTACCCTAAGCCATCCTGCAAAGGATACCTTGTCATGTCTGTTCTCGATCTCCCGTTTGCTTGTGACATAGGACTGGCGCCAAATGCTGTTTAATGTGACGGGTGCTCTTATTTTACTTTGCTTTTTAAAACCTCTCTCAATGTGTTCACAGGGCCGAAGAGATGAGCATCAAAGACCGGATGAGCAGCTAGCAAAGAAGGACGCTCAGGTAACAGCAATTCAGAAAGGTGTCGGCTGCAGGTTTGGCCAATCAGGAAGTTTCCAAGCTGTTTAAAAACGTTTCTTAGCGTTTCTGAGCCGGCGAGCCGCCTGAGAAACAGTTTCTATCCCAATGTGATTTTGGTTTTAACGCAGTGTAAGGTAGTCTCTATGGGAGTATATTGTATTTAATTATGGGGTATCAGAGTTTTTAGGGGGCTAACCAGGCTGGGATATCTGGGATAGCAGGCTTGTTGGTTTTTGAAAGTCTGATGTAGATTTTTTCAATTTCGTTGTTCTGTATCGGACAATGACAATAAAGATTATCATATCATATTGTATCGTAAGCTGTGCAGGGGTGGGATTGCTCCATCCTTCTGAAGAAGCATTTTGGGGGGGACAGCGGGATGTCTGCATCTCCAAAAGGACATTGGAGAGTTGGAAGGAAGTGCATAATAATAATAGTAATAATAATTTTTTAAAAATTATTTATATTCCGCTCTCCCCAGCCGAAGTGGGGCTCAGAGCGGCTGACAACAGTAAAAATAACACAGTTTACATAAAATCACAATCAATTAATTGAAATACATTCTAAAATCAATTAATTCTAAAATCAATTCAGAGTCAATTTAATGACAACCATTTGGCTAGAGTTCTCTGAGGATTACAGAAGGAGAGAGGGGGGGTCAGACTGTGCCTTGGCCAACAGGCTGGTGGAAGAGAGCAACACAGAGGCTTTTGGCTTGAGGACGCTTCTGCGTTTGAGACCTCTTTTCTTTAGGGAGGAAATACATTGGTAAGGTGTACAGACATAAGCCAGAGTGTGGGCAAACCTTAGCTGCAGATCGTGGTTATGGAGGAGAGATCTTAACTGTGATCTCAGGTTCAGACAACACACTAAACCAAGGTTTGTCTTGTGCTTACTTTAAAAGCCCGGGGTGATGCAAATCAGGTGCGATACCAGCACATCCGTGTGTTCGTGCAAACACAGCCTCTTGTCTGCAGTCCTACCCATGCTTGCCAGGGAGTAAGCTCCATTTGAAAAGGAGGGCAAATACTTCTAAGCGGACGTAAACAGGGCGATACGATAGGGGTGTATGAAAATCTTAATGTAAGTTTTCAGAATTATGCAGTGTGAAGAAAACAGCTAGGGTTTCTCCCTCCTCATAATGTAAGAACTTGTCAGCCAGGGAAAAGGATTGGCAGGAGATTTCAGGACAGGCAGAAAGTACTTCTTCACATAAGTAATGATGAACCCCAGACAGAGGGTGGCCAGAGGCAAAAAGTAAGAGGGCATCTGCACCTTAATTGATTTTTATTAAATTTTATTTAGTTTTTTCAGATTTTGAAATTTACAAACAATTATCAGACAACCAACATGGAAAGAGAATTCCAAAGAATCTCCTGGATTTACCTCCTTCCCTTTGTGGGTCCTTATATTAACCTTTTCCTCCTGCATCTTGTCTATTAATCCAAAACTATTAAATCTCCATTATCTTCAACTTTAAACTATAATAATAATAATAATAATAATAATAATAATAATAATAATTTATTTATACCCTGCCCTTCCTGGTTCAGAAAACCGGGCTCAGGGCAGCTAACAACAAATTTAAAACACTTAATTGATGCAACAAAAAACAACTTAAAATACCGTATAAAATGTGAATAACAATAAATTCAGAATTCAAAAATCAATTTAGGGGGGAAATCCATCCAATAAACATTAGATGATCACCAGGGCTAGCTGGCTAAATTAGTCCTATTTGGGCCAGCGAGGAGACCAGGGGAGAAACTATAAGTGTTATTCCAATTCGACTAATAATTTTAATGGTTTACATTGGTTTTTAAGGTAAATTATATATTTTCCCCATTTCTTATTTTTTAAAAAATGTCTTCCTGGTTTCTGAGGGCTTCTGCACCTTTAATAGCTGCAGAAGGGGCTGAAATTCCCTCAGCAACTAAAGCTGCATGAGCCCCAGCCTTCCTCCTTTGCTAACCTAACTCGGAAGTGTTTAGAATGCAACAGAGACCAGGCAAAGAATACAGGCAAGTTTTAATCTGTAGTCTTCTTCTTCTTCTTTTTCTTCTTTTAGATCCTGTACAACGCAGGCGAGAAGAGGTGGGGGACCGACGAGGGCAAATTCATTGAGGTTCTGTGCTTTAGCAGTTTCCCTCAGCTGAAACTAAGTAAGAAACCATTCTGGGGGTCCTCTCTTTTTTTGTGCTGCTCAGCAAAGGGAGACAGAAAGGGCAGGTCTTGCGAATTTTTCTTCCGCCTGGAGATGCCCCTTAACAGCGCTGGCGTTCTTATCTCTTGTCATTCCTAAGCCTTTGAAGAATACAGAAATATCAGTGGGAAGAAATTGGAAGACAGCATCCAGAGCGAAACCTCAGGAAGTTTTGAAGACCTGCTACTGGCCATAGGTAAGGAGGACTTGAGGAAATTGGGTCTGTGTGAGATATAACTACAGTCATACCTCGGGTTACAGACGCTTCGGGTTGCGTGATTTCGGGTTGCGCACCATGCCAAACCCGGAAGTACCGGAATGGTTACTTGCGCATGCACAGAAGTGCTACATCGCCGTCCCCTTCTCCTTGTGCCCTCCATCTTTCCCAACATCAGGGTCTTTTCCAGGGAGTCTTTTCTTCTCATGAGGTGGCCAAATATTGGAGCCTCAGCTTCAGGATCTGTCCTTCCAGTGATCACTCAGGTTGGATTTCCTTCAGAATGGATAGGTTTGATCTTCTTGCAGTCCATGGGACTCTCAAGAGTCTCCTCCAGCACCATAATTCAAAAGCACCAATTCTTTGGCGATCAGCCTTCTTTATGGTCCAGCTCTCACTTCCATACACCACTGTGTGCAAATGCAGTTAACATAATTACCCACAAGGGGGCAGCAGTAAGAAAAAATACCGACAAAGGCATTGTAAACAAGCACGGAACAGAATGCATTAACATGCATCTGCTCTGAATGAGGTTTGGATGTTTTGCAAGCGCTGTGGATGCCCACCAATTTCACTTTTCTGCACAACCTTGGCACTCCTCCAGAGCTCTTCCAGCAGAGAAAATGCAGTAATGGAGTCAACTGCTAACCCTCTTCTTTCTTTCTTTTTATAGTCAAATGTGCAAACAACACTCCAGCGTTCTTTGCTGAAAGGCTGCACAAGTCTTTGAAGGTAAGAACACAAGACGCCGCCTTCTTAAATCAGTCATTCAACCTTTAACAAAGGAAACAGGAATATTTGGGTCGAAACATACAATTGGCATCTGTTCACAGAAAGAGATGCTTTGAGATGAAACTATAAGGTTAAAAAGTACCACTCAGGTCTTATGACAACGTTGTTTCAGGGCTGGATTGAGGTTTGATGAGGCCCTAAGCTACTGAAGGTAATGGGGCCCTTTATGTGTCCAGCTGTCCTTTGTCAACAACAAATTGTCACTGTTTTTTGTGTAGAATATTATATGGTAATTTATGGACATACAGTCATATCTTGGGATAAATACGCTTCAGGTTAAGTGCTTTCGGGTTGTGCTCTGCGGCAACCCGGAAGTAACGGAGTGCGTTACTTCCAGGTTTCGCCGCTCGCGCATGCGCAGACGGTCAAAATGATGTCACACGCATGTGTGGAAGCGGCGAAACACGACACGCGCAGACGCGCTGTCGCATCTTACGTTATGTTCAGGATGCGAACGGGGCTCCAGAACGGATCCCGTTCGCATCCCAAGGTACCACTGTAATAGGTATCTAAAGCCATTTGCACATAACAGAATGTGTATTTTAACAAAGTAATTGTTGAAGTGAAATACAATTAAGAAGAAGTATATTAATAGTGAAATTTTTGGGGAGGGGCCAAGTAGTGTTATAGCTTGTTTAGCTTATACATAAATCCAGCGCTGCGTAGTTTCATGGCGTTGCTCCCATATTCTGCTCCTTTCTCCATACTGCCAGGCCCGCAGCTACAGTGGTGCCTCGCAAGACAAAATTAATCCGTTCCGCGAGTCTCTTCGTCTAGCGGTTTTTTCGTCTTGTGAAGCAATCCTATTAGCGGCTTAGCGGATTAGCGCTATTAGCGGCTTAGCGGCTTAGCAGCTATTAAAGGCTTAGCGGCTAAAAGGCTATTAGCAGCTTAGCGGCTTAGAAAAAGGGGGGGGGAGCGGAAAAAAATCGCAACACTCGCAAGACGTTTTCATCTTGCGAAGCAAGCCCATAGGGAAATTTGTCTTGCGAAGCAGCTCAAAAACGGAAAACCCTTTCGTCTAGCGGGTTTTCCGTCTTGCGAGGCATTCGTCTTGCGGGGCACCACTGTATTCAATAAAAAGAGAAACCCTGTAGGAATCAGAACAATTTAGCCTCTCCTTCAGAATGAGGCTCAAACGTTTGTCGTTGATTACTTCATAAAATGGGATGCGGGTGGCGCTGTGGGTTAAACCACAGAGCCTAGGACTTGCCGATCAGAAGGTCAGCGGTTTGAATCCTGGCGACGGGGTGAGCTCCTGTTGCTTGGTCCCTGCTCCTGCCAACCTAGCAGATCGAAAGCATGTCAAAGTGCAAGTAAATAAATAGGTACCGCTCTGGCGGGAAGGTAAACGGCGTTTCCGTGCTTCTCTAGTTTCTCCAGAAGCGGCTAAGTCATGCTGGCCACATGACCCGGAAGCTGTACGCCGGCTCCCTCAGCCAATAAAGCGAGATGAGCGCCACAACCCCAGAGTCGGACACAACTGGACCTAATGGTCAGGGGTCACTTTACCTTTTACTTCATAAAATGGACAGTAAAACAAGACATGTGCAATGGTCTCGGCCTGTCCTACACCGCAAGGACAATACCTCTCTGAATTTGGAACCCTGGAGAACATTTCCTGCAAGATTGGAGGCAGCGTAGCACTGAATCTTTCAAGGGAAAAAGCTCTGTGCTGGTGAGGATTGTATAGGTGGTGTCGCTATGGAGCAGCCTTGCCAAACAAAGGTGGGGGGAGGAGCCTGTATAGGGCTCTCCGTTGGACTCCAATTCCCATCAGCCCCAGCCAGCATGAAGGGATATGAAGTCCAACAATATCTGGAGGATGGCAGGGCATCCCTGAATTAGGGGGATGTTTTCTGCCATTTTTTGCAAAACATGTAAATAGTGTGCTTTTCAAAGTACAGGGTCTGCAGCTCTGAAACACAAATGAAACAATTTTTTAAAATGGGAAAGGGAGTTACTGGGTTCTTTTTGTTTTTTTATTATGTGTTTTTGTGTTTTTATATTGTGTTGAAATTACTCTGATACCTGGGGGTATTGGGCGGTATACAAAATTTATAAATAATCATGATGATGATGATGGTGATGATGATGATCCCTTTCCTTGTTGATAGGGGGCTGGGACAGATGAATTCACGCTGAACAGAATTCTGGCATCCAGGTCAGAGATTGACCTCTTGGATATACGAGCTGAATATAAGAAACTGTATGGCGTCTCCTTGTATTCTGCTATTAAAGTGAGTACCTCAATCGCTTCAGCTACATTCCAGAACTCTTTTTCTCTCTCTGTGTGAATCCACTTCTTTGGTCCTGGGCATGAAAGACACTGTTGGAAAGCAGAGAGAGATGGAAGGTGATGGAAGTTAAGGAATTTCTGTCCTCTGTTACTTGGGGCAGATCCCTAAACGTCACCTGGGCTCTCTTAATTCTACACAGATGGGTTCTATGACACAGTAGACCAATCCTCTCTCAGCCCTGATAGCATGTGTAAACCTAAGGTAATAATAATAATAATAATAATGATAATAAATTTTATTTATATCCCGCCCTCCCCAGCCGAAGCCGGGCTCAGGGCGGCTAACAGCAATCAAATAATCCAACATTCTAAAAACATTTCATTATAAAAATTAATTAAAATCAAATTGATGGCAACCGTTAAGCAAAATTCTGTGCAGATTGCCAGAGGAGGGAGTCAGGCTGCGCCCTGACCAAAGGCCTGGTGGAACAGCTCTGTCTTGCAGGCCCTGCGGAAAGATGTCAGGTAAAGGTAAAGGAGCCCTGGATGGTTAAGTCCAGTCAAAGGCGAATATGGGGTTGCGGCACTCATCTCGCTTTCAGGCCGAGGGAGCCAGCGTTTGTCCAGAGACAGCTTTCTGGGTCATGTGGCCAGCATGACTAAACCGCTTCTGGCGCAATGGAACACCGTGATGGAAACCAGACCGCATGGAAATGCCGTTTCCCTTCCCGCTGCAGTGGTACCTATTTATCTACTTGCACTGGTGTGCTTTTGAACTGCTAGGTTGGCAGGAGCTGGAACAGAGCAATGCGAGCTCACCCCGTCACGGGGATTCGAACCACCAACCTTCTGATCAGCAAGCCCAAGAGGCTTAGTGGCTTAGACCACAGCGCCACCCGAGTCCCATAAACCTACCAAGCTCTAGCTGGCAACCTGGGGTTGTGCTGCAGGCTTTAAACATTCTCACGCTTTTCTGGGCTTGAGCAATGCTGCCTATTGCAGAGGTTTCTGAGAACGTTAAATGCCCTGGCCAAAACGTGACTTCTCTCAAGATGCTGAGTGCTGTTCCAAGAAAGCATAAGTGAACACACTGCTAAATGTTTAGGTACTTTCCTGAACTGGGCCGTGAGCACAGAATCCCTGAGAACCTCTGCTATCATTTTTATAAAGCAAGTTTCTGGTCCTTATTGATGTGAAAACGTCACATGCGAAATCGTGGCAGGCAGCTTTGCAGAAGCTTTCCCACTCACAGGCACTGGTGCTTCTGGAGCTTTCTTTAGGGTCACCCAGAAGCTAGCCTCTCGCGCCCCCCGCCCCAGATGCCAAGATGCAAAAGAGGGACTTTTCAGTCCTTGTGCAAAAGAGGGACTTTCAGCCAGTCTAGCTTGTCATGCTGATCTGGGCCACTAGGGAAGGTTGCCAGAGCCCTGTGTCCTCTATGCATTTTCTGCATATCAAAAAAAAAATGAAGATGCTTTTCTGGCCGGAAATCGCTGAGGGAGAAGCAGTGACGGTAGCCGTTCCAACTGCACCATGCTGCCAAAGGACGATAAGAAGAAGAAGGACGCGGGCAAGTCGGCCAAGAAGGACAAGGACCCCGTCAACAAGTCTGGCAGAAAAGCCAAGAAGAAGAAGTGGTCCAAAGGAAAAGTAAGAGAAAGTAAGGGACAACCTTGTTCTGTTTGACAAAGCTACTTACGACAAGCTGTGCAAGGAGGTGCCAAACTACAAACTCATCACACCTGCTGTGGTCTCTGAAAGGCTGAAGATTTGAGGCTCCTTGGCTAGAGGAACTTCTCAGCAAAGGCCTAATCAAACTGGTGTCCAAGCACAGAGCCCAGGTCATCTACATCCGAAACACCAAGGGGGGATGCACCAGCTGCTGGGAAGGACATATAAAAGGTTCTTGGGAGGTTTTTAGACTCTGTAAATGACTAAAATAAAATAATTTGAACTCCTGGGGGAAAAAATGAAGATGCTTTAAAACTGTAACCACCACTACAAAAATAAAAAATAAAACTCAAAGTAAATATTACAGGTGGTGGAAATCTGTGTGAGAGCAACCATGTTTGCATATGCAGATGCCGGTGAGTGGAAAAGCTGAGGCTTCCTTGAGGCTGCGGATAGACAGACTGCGGAGGCAAGCTCACTGTCCAGATGTCTGCTGATAATGAGGGTCTCCCCGGGCTATCATGTTGAGTGGAAAACAAGCTCAGCTGTTAACTTGGTGGTTTTATGGGGGATCCAGATGTCTTTTTTAAAGGTTTCCTTTCGCCAGCACTCTCTCTATAGCAGCAGCGTTCTCTTGCTAGACAGGAAAGCCTTTGCGCAGTTTAATGGTCACTCCCATGGCCTGGGTCTTGCTCTATGGCAGAGTTAGTTTAACGGGTGATGTGGCCCAGCAGCCATAACTGCAGCGCAGTGCTGCTTTTGTCTATAAATGGATTTACCATGTTAAGAGATTGAAGCGTGCCTCTTTAATGTGGCTTCCTGACTGTTTTTTGTTTTGCCCTTTGCAGTCTGACACTTCTGGGGATTATGAGGCCACGTTGCTCAGGATCTGCGGTGGAGACGACTGATGGGGATGAAGTGCCGAGCCCTGGAGTTTCCTGCTTTGCGCTGCAGTCCTCCTCTGCGGAGTTTCTGAATGTTTAAACGAGTGTAAAATTGCCACCGCGTTTTCTTTATCGCTTTCTCAATTAGGCTCCGTAACAAGCAGATGCTTATTTTAGCACCTCCCTCCAGGCAATCGATGACATTTGCCGCCACACACGCTGCGTCTTTGGATGAAACCTGCGCCCGAAATTGTACGGGCCAGATCTGCTGGCGCTAAAGAAATTGTTGATGCCCGAGAGGTTGGAATCTGCCTAGATATATGAAAGACATAAATCAATGAGTTGTATATATCCAGTATCTAGTGCTCTCTCTCACGATTTGAATAAAGCTTCCCCCTGCCAAAAAAAATCCTTTACCCCCATATTATTATTGCTTTTTGCTTTTATATGCAAAGATCTAGCTTATCACCACATGCTGCTGTTTTTTCTAAAGCACCATGCAGCCATTGTGGTTTTCAAGCTGTATTGCAGAATCGATGTAGCTGACACTGACTTTATTATAAGTTAGATTCTTGGGGAGAGGGAGAGAGGAAAGCTGGCAATAAGGAAGTGGCCCACTGCCAACTGGCAACACATTATGAGTAAGTAAATAAGTAAATTTTTATTTATACCCCACCCTCCCCGGCCAAGACTGGGCTCAGGGCGGCTAACATCAATTGTCAAGTACAGTGGTACCTCAGGTTACATACGCTTCAGGTTACATATGCTTCAGGTTACAGACTCCGCTAACCCATAAATAGTACCTCGGGTTAAGAACTTTGCTTCAGTATGAGAACAGAAATTGTGCTACAGTGGCACGGCGGCACCGGGAGGCCCCAATAGCTAAAGTGGTGCTTCAAGTTAAGAACAGTTTCAGGTTAAGAACGGACCTCCAGAACGAATTCAGTTCTTAACCCGAGGTACCACTGTACATTAAAACACAATCAAACAATTGATTAAAATACATCTTAAAAATTAGAATCAGGATAAAATTAAATGACTGCCCATGAAATTATAGCCATAGGGGTCGGGAACCTCAAGTATTCATCAGGGCTGGCTATCCATGTTGGTCCCACATGAGCCGATAAAAGGTGTGGTTGAAACACCTCCTGGAAAATCCTGCCTTCCAGAGTTGTGGGACTCCAGCTCCCATTGTCCCTGACCATTGGCCGTTCAGACTGGGAGCGATGGGAGTTGGTAGTCCTGACAAAATCTGGAGGGCCACACATTTCCCATCCCTGGCTTGCCAGTAGTGCATGTGAAAAGGATCTAGGGGTCTTAAGTAGATCACATGAGACAACAACGTGATGCAGCAGCAAAAAAAGCTAATGCAATTCTAGACTGCATCAACAGTGTTCAGATCCAGTCTAGTGTTCAGATCAAGGGAAGTCATAGCACTGCTGTATTCTGCCTTGGTCAGACCACACACCCAGAGTACTGCGTCCAGTTCTGGGTGCCACAATTTAAGAAGCTGGAATGCGTGCAGAAGAGGGTAGCCAAGATGATGAAGCATTTGGAAAGCAAGCCTTATGAGGAACGTTGGGTATGTTTAGAGGAGGAGTTTGGATTTGATATCCCACTTTATCACTACCCGAAGGAGTCTCAAAGCGGCTAACATTCTCCTTTCTCTTCCTCCCCCACAACAAACACTCTGTGAGGTGAGTGGGGCTGAGAGACTTCAGAGAAGTGTGACTGGCCCAAGGTCACCCAGCAGCTGCATGTGGAGGAGCGGAGACGCGAACCCGGTTCCCCAGATTACGAGGCTACCGCTTTTAACCACTGCACCACACTGGCTCTTTAGCCAGAAAAAGAGGAGACTAAGAGGGAGATGTGATCGCCATCTTCAAATATCTAAAGGGCTGTCGCATGGAAGATGGAACAGGCTTCTTTTCTCCTGCTCTCGAGAGCAGGACTCAAACCAATGGTTTCACGTTACAAGGAACGAGATTCCAGCTAAACATCATTAAGAACTTTTTGGCAATAAGAGCTGTTCTGCTGTGCAGCAGTCTCCCTCTGAAGGTTGTGGACTCTCCTTCCTTGGGGGTTTTTAAGCAGAGGTGGGATGGCCATCTGTCATGGCTGCTTTGGCTGAGATTCCTGCATTGCAGGGGGTTAGACTAGATGACCCTCGGGGCCCCTTCCAATTCTACAGTTCTGTGATTCAGGATGCTGAACCCAGATATTGTTAGGAGGAGAAAAGTTGGGAAGGAAATGGATCTTCTTGACACATATACACATAGAGTATTCCAGACCTAATTATCACAGGCTTTTTCAGACAAGTTTGTCAGAATTAGGGTTATCTTTGTGGAAACCCATGCTTAGTCCTCTTTCCTTGACCTGTTCCTGGTGCCATGGTTTCAGATCTGAAACACCTGTACAGTGGTACCTCAGGTTACAGACGCTTCAGGTTACAGACTCCGCTAACCCAGAAACAGTACCTCGGGTTAAGAACTTTGCTTCAGGATGAGAACAGAAATTGTGCTCCAGTGGTGCGGTGGCAGCGGGAGGCCCCATTAGCTAAAGTGGTACCTCAGGTTAAGAGCAGTTTCAGGTTAAGTACGGACCTCCAGAACGAATTAAGTTCTTAACCCGAGGTACCACTGTAGCTTTAAAGGTGCCACTGAGCTTGTGCAATGTGCTTTCTACCTTACTGTAAGAAATCACACACACAGAAGAGACCCTCACATACTTAGGCATGGTGCAGGAAGTACTTATAGGCCAGAGGGCAATGAGTTGCAGGTTTGAATGGCCACCACCTCTAAACAGGGACAATAATGCCTGCAATTAAAGTAGAAATACCTGCTGGAAACGAGGGAGGTTAAAGAAAAGCTAAGGAGAGTGTTGTGTGGCCTGGAGAAAAATCCAGGAGGAAGCTTGTTCTGCTCCCAATTCATTTCAGTTGGGGCTGGGACACAGGAGTCTTTCCTGTTGAGTTATACACCCCATGTGTGCTTGTGGGGGCTGTGTGCACTTTGGTGCAAGATAAAGGCACAGTCCAAATTTCCCCCTCCCCTGGTCCTCTGCAAACTGTAGAGGAAAAACAGAAGTTGCTGCTATACTGCAGTTAAACTGCTTCTCCTTTTTCTTCTTCTCTGTTTCGCACTTCCAACTTCCTCCTCTCGCAGCTGTGGCCGCCAGACCTTTGGGTTAGATCTCACTTGTCACCACCGAGAAGGGCGAAAGATTGGGGGGGTTGTCTTGCTGTTGCAGCCAGTTTCTTTCACATTTTGCAAGCTGTTTCTTCTCTCCCCACTCCCCACGGCATTGTTTTCCCTGCCCGCCCACTCCCAAATTATCATTCCAGGCTGGGGGAATCAGAGCAAGCCTTAGCAGTAGCAAAACAGCATTCTCTCTCTCTCTTCCTAATGCTAAATGAAATTTGTTGGCAGCAATCTGATGTTCCTTTCACGAGTTGCCACCAGGTGGCGGCATGCTTATGGAAAACCCTGTTTGCAGGCTCCTCTGCTATATTAAAAGGTAAAGGTCCAGTCGTGGCCGACTCTGGGGTTGCAGTGCTCATCTCGCTTTATTGGCCGAGGGAGCCAGCGTACAGCTTCCGGGTCATGTGGCCAGCATGACTAAGCCGCTTCTGGCAAACCAGAGCAGCGCACGGAAACGCCGTTTACCTTCCCGCTGGAGCGGTACCTATTGATCTACTTGCACTTTGATGTGCTTTCGAACTGCTAGGTTGGCAGGAGCAGGGACCGAGCAACGGGAGCTCACCCCGTTGCAGAAAGTATTTGTAGCAATGAAGTTTTTCCTAGACTAACACTTTAGAGGGGTGTTTAGGGAAGGGTCATACCTCTGGTGAGGGACACATCATGCTCCTTCTAAGCTAATTTGTCCACCTTCGGTCCCCAGCTTGCACTCAGTTCCTACCTGTGGCTCCTAGAAACTGTCAGCATACTACAGTGGCCACACGTGAGGAACAGCTTCGACTGGCCAGCCTTACATATTGCTCTGCCTTCCTTTGAACCACATCTACCGGGCCAAGAGGCCAGTCTAGGACCTCTCTACACACTGCCCAGGCTTGCGCCCTGAGGAGGTCACTTGGCTGCTGCTAACGCAGTCGTTTGACTTCACCCTTGGAGGCACGCTCCATTGTCTCTTGAGACAGTCGAATGCCAACAAAACCACTCCAGCCTTCCAGTGGTGTGGCTGGGCTACATGTTACACTTTCCCAGGGATCCTACTGAAACGTGGATGATTGAGGCGAGCTCTTCACCCCAGGGCTGGCTCAATCTATGCTGGTTCCTTATCCTGCCGGCTTCTTGTGGGTAGGGGTGCAAGGCATGAGGTTTCCTCTGCGAGAGTTTTCAGAACTTTTAGCCCATCAGATAATGAGGTGGTCTGGGCTGGCTGGGGCTGTTGGGAGCGGTAGTCCAAAATAGCCGGAGGCCACAAAGTTGGTGAAAGCTTGGCCTAGATTGTGTGCTGCAGGGACCTCAAAGCAGCCAGCCTCGGTGCTGTTCCTTTTCTGCAAGATTCCTCTTTTTGGGGGCTTGCAAGGCAATGTCAATTAAGACGCTGCCCTGATTAGGACAGAGTGCTGGGAATAGATTTGTGCGAGATTTCCCTTTATGAATGGCCCTAATAACACCGATGGAAGCAGCGCAAGGCTTTTCGTGGCTCTCTTCTTGAAAGACCTACATTGGCTCCCAGTATGTTTCCAAGCACAATTCAAAGTGTTGGTGCTGACCTTTAAAGCCCTAAACGGCCTCTGCCCAGTATACCTGAAGGAGCGTCTCCACCCCCATCATTCAGCCCGGACACTGAGGTCCAGCACTGAGGGCCTTCTGGCGGTTCCCTCACTGCGAGAAGCCAAGTTACAGGGAACCAGGCAGAGGGCCTTCTCGGTAGTGACACCCTCCCTGTGGAACGCCCTCCCACCAGATGTCAAAGAGAAAAACAACTACCAGACTTAGAAGACATCTGAAGGCAGCCCTGTTTAGGGAAGCTTTTAATGTTTGAAGTATTACAGTATTTTAATATTTTTTGGGAAGCCGCCCAGAATTGCTGGGGAAGCCCAGCCAGATGGGCGGGTATAAATAATTTTTTATTATTATTATTATTATTATTATTATTATTATTATTATTCTGACCGGAGCATGGCTTTGAATGGGGGAGTATCCTCGATAGGAACAAAAGCAGCAGAGGGTGGGAGGGTGGTCAGCAAGTGCCACTCATGTAAATGTCTTTCTTCAACTCATCATGGGGAGCCGGCATGAGGCCCATATTCCCTCGTGGGCAGCCTTCTGGGTGGGAGCCACATGCCAGGGGTGAGTGAGCAGTAAACCATGCAGAGCAAGTTCGAGTTAACTCCAAAGTAGGATCTGCACAGGAATGTCAGGCCTAATGGGTACAGCAACTCAGGTCTTGC